AACATAATTGTTTCAGTTCTTAACATCACCAACGTTTGACAACATTTAGTTCTTAGCGATTCAAGCAGAAAAATATTCTTTACATTAAAATCTATCAAATGTTTAAATATTTGAAGAATAGTGATTACTTATATCATTAGCACTGAGAAGCTATGAGATAATGCTTAAAGAATAAACTATTTGTCAATAAAGGTTAAAGAACTTTCTCTTACAAGTCATAAATACGTTTCACAATGCTGCCATAATGACAATCGTCCTGTTAAAAGTTGAATTTGCTGTGTTCATCGGTTTTTACTTTGACAAATACGGGAATAACATACAATCAATATAACCATGTTAAGTGATCGTGTTTATGACGTTGTAGTTCAATGATTTTTGTTAGATAATAAAATTGTAATAATCAACTGTTACAAAGAGAAATTGAAAAAAGTTTTATTTATTGTAGTTAAAAAAAATAGATTAGTTAGCAATGTTAATTTTAATTCATCTTATATTTTAGATATATTCAAAGAGAAAATATTTTACATTAAATTAGTTTTCTATATAGAAATGTTGAAATTGATCTGCTCTCTATCTCTAATAGAATTATTTGTTTTCAAATATAGTTAAATGATTGCTCATAGATATAATTGAGAAAAATCGACAATTTAATCTGACTCACTCTCGTTAATGTAGATTGAATAACAGGTGATGGAAAAGTTCTTGCACAAATATGTTTCTACTTTTCATCTAGTATAACATGTTTCAGAAAATTAAAAATAGCTATTTAGAATCTGTGTTGAAACAGCTTTCGACCTGTGTGTTTAAAAAAATCACTATTATGCCTTGCTTTTGAGTAAGAAACATATCTTTCAAAAGCATGAAAATGTAGTCTGCAAAGAAAAAAGAAAACTTCAATATTGTTGTATTTTCTCCTTTTCCTTCTATCAGATTTTTTTGCTTCTGTTCCCATTAAATTCTCTATTTAGTTATCTACAAGCCAGGCATAAAACATCATGAAATCGTTTAGGATAGCGTTGAAAAAATAAAAACGCACATCTCTTACCATTTTTATAGGCAAATATTTGTTTTGTTTTGTGTTGTGTTGTTTCATGTTCCCTATATCCTCAGTACATTTTAGTAATCTACAGACTCAAATATATGCTTTTTACTCAAACAGATTATATGATAAAAAAATATTTTGAACACATAATTAAACAGCTCATTCAATGTAGATTCTGAATACGGTTTTTTTATTATTATTCCGAAGTCTTTTTTTGTAGATAAAAATGAATGAACATTTATGCAAGAACTTTTGCATCACCCATTACATATAGAGAGATGAAATTTTGCAAAATAAAAGATCTTGATTGAACAAAATAACTGACAAAACATTTCAGTCTTCTGTTATCGAGAAATAATTTGAAAATTTAATAATAGTAAATATAACAAGTAAATTAGTCATATATTATATGAAAAAAGAGATTCAAAAGTAGTTAAATTGAAAACATCTAACAATAATAATCAACTGATAATTGTTACAATTTCAACAACAAGAATTGATCCCTTATCCTATCAAAAACTCCTGGATAGAGATCTCTGTCTATAAATTGAGCTAACTTAAGAATTTATTACAATTGAAAGAGTTCATTCTATAAATAATGACCACGATATAAATTAGTCTTGTAGATCAATGTTATGGAATGTATATATATTCTAAAAGTTAATTTATTTATTTGTAAAAAAGTTCATTGTTGAATATGTTGGTTAAAACAACTATATTAGATAAAGTTAATTTAAAAAGATAATTAATGAAAATAATCAGATTATTATTATTTTTGATCTATTCTTCATATATATTTATCAATGAAAATCTATTTTATTAAAAATTTTATGTTATTTTCAATCGGAATTGTATAGATTTCGAATTGTTAATTACTAATGATTTAATGTGAACAACTAAAATTATTTTCTCCTCGAACAAATAAATATATTGTCGTTGATCAGTAATAACTATCAATATCAATAAAATACAACTAGTGACTTATTCACATTTATTTTCATGAATTTTTTCTCAATTTAAATGAAAACTATTAAAAAAAGAATTCTTTTTTATTAATGATTCAGCTTTTTCATTATTAGAATTTCATATTTTATAGAATTAAATATTGATCAACTTAACTATTTTATTATTATTGAAGGTTAGTTATTAAATTAATCTTACAGATTTATTCTATTATTTTAATATTTTATTTAAAAAAACAACAAAACAATATTTAACTGTAAAATAAAAATAAGATACTATTTAAATATTTCAATATTGATTAAGAAATCTAATTAAACTCTACAATTTAATTCGATCGTATTATTATAAAACAACAAAATACTCTTGAAAAATTCTTTATTTAAAAGTGATGATCAATATTGATGTTTTTTTTTTTGTTTTTTGTAAAGGAGAGATCAATTTTAGGATAAGGATCATCAGTAGAATGATCGCTTCTTTCTTTGAACTTATTTGCCAAGATATAACGATAGTCACGTACAATATCACTATTATCATATTAATCAATAGAACAAAAAAAAACAAGATTTACCAAGAATTTTTTTAAATAAAACTTAAATTCAACTTTGATTTTCTATTAAACATATTTATCTAGGTCAAGATAAATCATAAGATTATATTTTAAATTTTCAAAAATTAATTTATCTACTATTATTCGATTTATAAATCGAAATATTTTCATTTTAGAATAGGAAACATTTTTAGATAAATTTTAACATTTATATACAAATATATTAGTACTATTATTATATTAAATTTAGTTTGAATTCGTTTATATATCTTGACTATTTTAAATAAACATTTTTATAAAACAAAAAAAAACAAGAGAAAGGTGAATCAATGTTAACAAATCTGACCTTGACACATTGTTCTCATCAATAAATATCATTGATTGGTTGATCATATATATATTTGATTAAATGACCATTTTACCAAGCTAAATATGTTTCTATCATAGAGAGAGAGAAAATAATAGTCAAGGTAAAGTTATTTTTAATCGATGGTATTCAGTGAATGATGTGATGGTTGGTGCCATAGTTATGACGATGTTGTTCAATCTATTTAAATAGTCATTTAGTTGTCAACTATTCATTGTAGATTGACTGACATAGATTGAACAAACATGATTTGGATCATTAATCTCATTGAATATATATATATCCTTAAATAAACTTTTTTTTTTGTTTTTTTCAATAAAAACTAACATTATACAATTTTTAACAAGATTATTATTACATATAATAATAGCTTAAAGGCATTTATTCATTTATTTTCTTTCGATATAAAAAATGATCAAGAAAAAACAATAAAAGAAAAACGATAAGATTATTGTTTGAATTAAAACAAAACAAAAAACTTATTATAAACGTGCCTTATCATATATATCATTGAATATGATCATTAATTCATATTGAACCAAAATGAAGAATTCTATATTATAGATAGATAGAGAATGAGTGAGAGAGAAAGAAAGAGAAAGAGATTTAAAGAAAATCGATCACTTATACATAAAACATATTCAAAGAAAAACACCGACTAAACATATACAGGACAGATACATCAATCAGTTCTATTCGATCGTTTATAAATAATTTACATTTATCCGAATATTCAATTTAACAAAACTTTTTTTTTTCTCTATTAATATAATATATTATCTAATAGATCGAATTAAATAATTCGACTAATATAGTTGATTATTTAATTAAAGAAAATCTTTGAAAAGTGCATCTTATTTATTTTCAATGTAAATATGTATGTTGATGAAATTTTCATTATTGATAGATATCAATTAAATAAAACAAATTTTTATTTGAAATAGTATTATTTATCAAATTAAATTTGATTATATTCTCATATAAACTCCATCGAAATAATCTTCTAAAGATGAATCGTTTTTTTTATTTTTGTTTATATAAATAGAAAAATAAAAATGATCTAGTCAACTTTTATTCAAACACTTTTAAACCAATGTTAATTATAATATAAATGATTAATATTTAGATTTTCTTTATAAAATTTTATTTAAACAATAAGAAAAATTTATTTTTCTTTTTTTGTTCTTTTTATAGAATATTCCAATATTTTTACTAAACAAACAAAACAATTCTTCCTATTAAATCATAGGAAAAATTTGTCGAACTAATACTATTTAATTCATATTGAAACGATTTATCTCAAAAATGATTCGTTTATATCATAAATCATTAAATCTAACCCAGTTTTTAATAACAATAAAACACGATAGAAAACAGAAAAATTAGAATTTCTAATAACTATTTCAATATAAAAGAAAATATGAATAATTTTCTTTATCCAGAAAAACTATCAGAGACATCGCTTTTTATTTGCTGTTGTTGTTTTTGTTGTATGTATGTATCTATGTATGTTGTAAATGATTGATTTGTTTCTTAGATGTTATGTTTGTTCGCTCGATGAAATGTCGATGCATTGAGTTGAGTTGCTCATGTTTTTTTTTTCTTTTCTTTTTACACCAATGAAAAATAAGATCGACGAAGAATATGTTGATTGAATGTTGATTGGTTATACTCGTTGGTGTCCCTTGTGAGAAAAAAAGAGAGAGAGACAGAGAGGAAAAAATGAAAGAAAAATCGATATTTCTCTTTGCCTAGTTCTTCTGTTTTTTTATGATATCCATTAATCGATTTAATGGGTCGTTTTTTGTGACAGCGTTTGCTTATACTCTTGTCTTCGTCTCTCTTTCTCTTTCTCTCTCTCTCTCATCATTTGATCAGTCGATCTGTAAGAGTCTCTCTACAATCATTAATAACGTCTATCGTAGAGGATCATTTACCGTTACACTTAGCTTAATAATCAGTAAGTTCACTTCAATCTGAGACTATCATTAACAAAAAAAAAAAAAAAAAAAAAAAGAAAAAAAAAAAAAAAAAAAATGAGTTCTCTGTCGTCCTATCCAATTGTTTCTTCTCTCCATACAATGAACAATCATCATCATCATAATCATAATCATAATCAACATAATCATCATCATTATGGAGGTGATGGAACAAACACAAATTATTCTCTTGTATCATCACATCAATTATCTGAAAGCAGTGCCAATATTACTAACGAATCATCATCGAGTTCATCATGTCCAATTATTGATTATTATGGTCAACATTCATATCATCAAACAGCAAATCGTCAACTTCAACATTATTCTCATCAAAATGGTCATATTTATCAAGAGAATCAAAATCATTTATATAGATATAATCCTATTCCATCATCATCATCATCATCATCATCAAATATTTTACCAAGGTAAATTTTCTTTTCTTTTTTTAAAATGAAATTAACAATAAAAATTTTTAAATTTGTAAAAATCTAAAACTAAAAAGTGTAATATCATTATTAGTTCTTGTGTATATCCTTGTCATAATGGTTCAAATGTAAATTATAATCAACAAAATGTTATATCATCATGTTCAAATCTAGTTACACAATCAGATATGATCGGTACAATAAATCCAATGAATATTGATTTATATGGTTTATCAATGAGTCCATCTCAAGGTTCATCATCAATTCTAGTAAATGGTTCATCATCATCTCCTCGACCATCTTCAACAGATCATCCAACAACTCTTAATTCATCAGAATTGGTACCTATATCAACATCAATTGATTCCCTATCATCATCATCATCATCAACATTATCAAAACAACAAACTCCTCCTATTATTTATCCATGGATGAGAAAAGTACATATTAATAATCCAGGTATATATATATATGTTATCAATTGATTTGAACATATTCTATTGAATATTATTTTTTTATTAAATATAATGATAAAAGAAAAGAGAAAAGAGGAAAAAGTAAAGTATTGATGATGACAGGCAACATTGAGAAGATTAATGATTAAATGTGAAACACGTGCAATCATAGACCATATAAATTATTGATTTGAATGAAAAGGAGGATAATAACACACGATCAGAACATTATTTCTATGCTAAACAACAAACCAGATTGAGTTATGTTATTAATCGAGCAAATCTATCAACATATATATAGTTACTAGACTTTTATTTATTAATTTTTTTTATTTTAAATAAAAATCTTATCTTTATCAAAATCATGACTATTTATTTGTCACATAAATGAATATGATTAACTTTTATTTCATATATGTTATTTTGTTCGACACGTTTATTTCAATCTATATATAATGATACAAGTAAATATCATTTCATCTTTGAAAATGTCAAAATATTTTTTCTCTCAGCTCAGCTTGAATCATATCAATGTGTCAGATTCACTTTTCAACATTATATTTAACCTTTATACTTTTAAAACAAATAACAACCGACTTCATTTATCATTAGATTTTACAGAAATGAACGTCAACAAAAACAATAAATAAGATTCATCTTACCATTGAATGAATAATACGTGACTGAAATTTAGTATCACGTACAGAAACAAAACAAAAAAAAAAAAAAGATAAATCTTATTTGAATAATGACAAATAATAAGTTTTGTTTTTCTCGTAAATAATATTTAATCTGTTTTTATCTGAGAGTTGAACTAAAATATGGATAAAAATGCTAAAATGATATGTTAACAATAAAAACTAAAAACAAAAAAAAAAACTCTTCTATTTTTATATTTAGTTATTAATTATACAAATGGAGAAACAAAACGAGCTCGTACAGCTTATACTCGTCATCAAGTATTAGGTTAAATAATTTGTTTTTGTTTTAAATAATAATAAATAATTATTTATTTATTTAATAGAATTAGAAAAAGAATTTCATTTTTCAAAATATTTAACTCGTCGACGACGAATTGAAATAGCTCATTCACTTGTTTTAACTGAACGGTAATTTTATTTAATTGATTTCAATAAACAAACTATTTTTATTTCATTCTTTTTTTAGACAAATCAAAATTTGGTTTCAAAATCGGTTAGTTATTTTATTTTTATTTTTATTTTTAATAATAACTTAATATTTTTAATATAAATAGAAGAATGAAATGGAAAAAAGATCATAAATTACCAAATACAAAATCAAAATTACCTGATCAATTACCAGCAGCATCAACATCATCAGATTCTTCATCACCTAATTTAATTAAAAAAGAAGAACAAGAACACGACCAAGAACAAGATATTGATTCAAATTCAAATTCAAATCGAATGTCAGCTTTTATTAAAGAAGAATCTTTTTCCGATCAATCTTCTAATTGACAATATTCAACAATTGTTTGTTTGTTTGTTTGTTTTAAACTTTTCTTTCTCTATTGAGGATGACATTGTTTCACTTGACATGATCATCTATTTTTTATAAACAAAAAAAAACAAAAAAATCAATATATATTGTATTTAGACATTTTTCTTTTTTTCGTTTTCTTGCATATATTGATGTATGTGTTTGTGTGAATGAATTCTTCTTGTTGTTCTTCTTGTTGTTTTGTATATGTAATAATGAGCCAAAATAAAGAATCTCAAATAATAAAACAGTTTTTTTATTTTTCTCTTGAATAACTATTTATTTGATGAAAATTTCGAATGTATGACAAATAAAATAGAAATATTTTAATATCTTATTGTTAAATTGATAAATGATCAAATCAGTTGTAAAGGAGAAGACAAATGACAAATTCATTTGGTTGATCTTGTTTTTCTTTTTTTTTTTTCTTCTTATCGTCGTCAGATGGTTATCGTGTCTTTGAATGAAACATGCGGTATGACATTTTATTTAAGTTGCTTTTTTTGTTTTGTTTTTTTTGTATTCTTGTCCAACCGCATCGTTTGATCATCGATTGAAAGGAAAGCGAATCATTAATAATGTTTCTCTCGGTTTTTTTTTTCTTCTTCTTCTTGTTTCTTTTTCTCGTTTTCTCACCGACCAGACAGAAATAAAAAGAAAAATCTATCTCTCTGTTGGTTAAAAGATCGATAGCAACAACGAATGTATATTGAGGCAAAAAAAAAGATCATTTGTCTTCTTTGACCGAACATAGTTTATAATGAGTTTTTCTTTTCCTCAACTGACATAGTCGCTCGAGACATGCTCGCTTCATTCGACTCATTTATCTAAATAGTCAATGTCGATGTAACGACTAACCAATCTAGAGAATACAATCATCTATGATATAGACAACACTAAACTTCTACACGAACAACTAACTCAGACAACATGTTTCTTTTTTCTTTTTTTAGCACGCACATTAATCAATGCATTTATCAATAAACATGACATTGAAAATCTTTTCCTTTTTTTTTTTCTTCCTTGTTTTTAAATATAAAACAAGAGAGAGACAGAGACAGAGAGAGAATATATCAAGTTATTCTATATTCAAATTAATAATTATCTTATAGAAATTTTTCAAAAATCAATCAAAAAAAAAACAAAACAAAACTAATCAATAAAATTTGTTTTAATAGTTTTCATAACCGACACTATTTATTTTCCATTTCAGAGTAAAGTGGACGTAGGCATATTTTGAATAGTTTTAAAACAACAAGGGAGAAATAATTTGGTTTGTCAGCATTATCTAGAGTCGACATTACTCTATCTTTTTGCAAAGTCAATGAAAAATCTCAGTTACTTTTCTTCTTGGATACCTCCTATGCTTTATAAACGAACTTAACCTATCATGAAAACAAAACACTTTCTCAAGTATAAGATAATGGACAAATAGTCCACCTTTTCCTCTATAGATCTACACAAGATCGAGATCGATAATTGTTTGCATTCAAAAAATATATTGATTTTACTGAAGAGTAGCCATCCAATTTTCTTAAAATCCAAGCAGCTAACTAAATATTTTCTTTTAATAAGTTCTTAGTCGCCATTAACTTCATGACATCATTTGTTAACCTTGGGAGATTTTTTCTTCTACTAGAAACGTCATCAAAAACCATACATTGAATTTATTCTCATGATAATAAGTCAATATCTTCAAGTTAGTTCCATTGATAACCTATTATGTAATAGTATATAACGGAATAATTTCATATAATATGATTCTATTAGATAAGCAGTGCATAGCCCCCTCTGTGGATAAATAACATATTGCTTTCTGACAAACTAACTTATTTTTGAATTGATCTACATCTGTCTTGATATGTAGATAGCATTGACTTTACTTTGGTTGGAAACAATACTGGAAGATCCATATTCTCGTAAACAGACAACCAGAGAGCAACCTGAAGATGTGGGGTAGGGATGTGGATGAAAAGCATCTCCAAATTAGGGAGTTACCACATCTCAGATCGAACACCCACATCTACACACGCACCCTCATCCACGCCAACACACCCTTTCTTCTATGCCACACACACGCAAACCTCTCAATGTATAATTTTCGATGACTTTTCTAGTGGAAAAAAATCTCCCAAGGTTAACAAATGATGTCATGAAGTTAACGGCAACTAAGAACTTATTAAAAGAAAATATTTAGTTAGCTGCTTGGATTTTAAGAAAATTGGATGGCTAGTCTTCAGTAAAATCTATATATTTTTTGAACGCAAACAATTATCGATCTTGATCTTGTGTAGATCTATAGAGGAGAAGCTGGACTATCTGTCCATTATCTTATAGTTGAGAAAGTGTTTTGTTTTCATGAGAGGTTAAGTTCGTTTATAAAGCATAGGAGTTTTCCAAGAAGAAAAGTAACTGAGATTTTTCATTGACTTTGCAAAAAGATAGAGTAATGTCGACTCTAGATAATGCTGAAAAACCAAATTATTTCTCCCTTATTTTTAAACGGAAAATTTGTTTGAATATTTGAATTAATCTATATATTCTCTCATTGATAGATAGATCGAAGTTTATAACCAAAGAATATATTCTCTCTGTGACTGATTAAAATATTAGAGAATATATATTCATAATCAATTTATTTATTTTAAATATTGACAAATATTTTTATTTGAATAATTCAGTCGATTTTCAATATTATAAAAAACTTCCTATTATAATATAACATGAAAAAAACAAGCCAGTAGAATATTTATTGACATTCTCATCAAAGATGTTTTCTATTCTAATAAACTAACATTGAACATATATGTTTTTAAAGGTACTATCAAGTTACAAAACTTCTAAGATATATATCTCATATATATGTAGTTAGATAGATTGTTTTTGATTAAAGATATATATTAAATGAATCCGACAATTGTAATAGGTTCACTCATTATATACAGGTAACAATTCTATTCAATAAAGATTATTTACTATTATTATGAATTTTTTTTTTATCTATAATTAATTAAACCAGATAGATTTATTCTTATTCATTTTTAATTCAAAAAAAAAACACCCCGATAAAGATCATCTTTAAAGTAAAAACATCGTCCAAATGATATTTATTAGAGATTATATTCATTTTCAAGTTCTTTAACATAGTTTTTATTGTTTCTGTTAAAATCAATTATTATTAAACAGCTTTGATATTGATTATTTTACATAAATAATATATTTATACTAAATTCGTTTATCTTTCTATTCGATATTATTTCAATCAATTTTTCTTTACTCAACATCTTTTTATATGATATATATATCTATTAAATAAGATATATAATTCAATGATTTACATTTCATATTTAAATGTTAAATATTATTTAATTAATAATTGACTTCTTGTTTATTATTCGAAAAATTTCAACTTATTTATTCATAAATAAATATAATATTACCCTTGACAATTTAATTATGTTTAGATTAACAATTCTAATGTGAGTTAATCATCATAATATATTCTCTAAAATTCTCATTCTATTATATATATACATAAATATGTAGTATAGAATTTTTGATATCAATCGACATGATCATCGACCATCAAGCGAAATCAATAAATAAGAGACAGAATGATGAATTCATCTAACAGAATTAACCAGTTATTATTCGTCTCAATCAAGTTTTACGTATACATGCAAATATAATACACAGACAAGTGAAGAGAATATGCATTTATACACTACTCTAGAAAATCGTTAATTTGTTATAAGTTTTGAAATTTTCTTACAGTTTTTAACTCAAATTTATAATTCGAATAGCTGATTTATAGTTATTCGAATTTTGCCTCTTTATAATTTGAGTTCTCGAATTTTCAAGTATTCAACTCTAGGGCAATGCGCTGCCTGCTTCAGTGTATGTTCGGTTCCTATACCAACCACATGAGGTGCATTGATTTTTGGCTGTGTATGTGTGGGGAATTGTGTCAGGAGATGATCATCTCATATGCTATAGATGTGGTCTGAGATGTTAAAGACACTATTTACATCTCTACAGGTAGAGTATTGATAGAATTCATGAAAAATTATAGATAGAATATTTAAATAGCCCTCTTAACCTTACATGCAATACATCTATTAGAATTAACAATAATGCCAACTTTATTTTATGAAGAAAATTCTCTAAGTGATCAATCGCTTTTTTTCTATATATATACATGACTGTATGTCACTTACTGGGCTCATTCCGAATATTAGAATCTTAGCAACCGTTAGGCCTTTCTAAATTTTGTGTCATTACTTTTTAATAGACACTTCATTCTTAAGTTAGAAATATTATAATCTATAAAGTATCTAAACAATTTCCATAATGACTGGAAAACATTATATGATTTTGTTTGATAATTAAATTGAATTTGATAATAGTTTTTAATGGCGCGTATTTAATCAATCTAATTCACTATTTGAAATAATTATTGATGTCATCATCTTATCAAATATATCGTTCAACAACTATTGGTTTAGCTCTTGATGATACTCTTCAAGAACTTGTTCATCGTCAAATCCTTACTTCTGCTCTTGTTCCTTATATTCTTAATGTTTTTGATGAAATAATCAATGAGAAATTGACTTATCGATCAATAAAAGGAAAAAAAGAAGTCTGTCTTGTGTTCAAAGGTCATCTTTTGTCGTATAGATCATGTGATCAAGTATGGACATTACTCTTCGATTCATTAATATTCACGTCAAATACAGATCCATTATGGAAACTATGTTTAACTAGTCAACATGATAAAATAAAAATAATCACTTGTCCAATTAAAAAATCAACTTTATTTAATACTGAACAAATAACAAAACATGAAAATGATCTTGAGATTAAATCAAAATCTTACAAAAAATATAAATCTACATAATCAATTAATTCTCTTTATCAAATTACTTCTATTCAAATAAATTTGTGTTCAATAAAAATTATTTGAGAATATGAAAATTTTTTAAAAAATAAATCTAAACTATGGAATTCTTACAATAAAATACTATCAATCTATTCAACTGCTAATTTTTATAAAATAATTTCTTTTCTTTTTTAAATAAATATCAAACAACATTGTCAACAAATATTTTCAAATCAATGTTCAATTGAATTTTTTTGACGAATAAGACAAAAGTTTAATAAATATTGAACAAAACTTCTCGTAGATTTTTACATAATTTTCTTCTCCTTATGTGTTGTTTCATATAGAAAATAAATAAATGAAAAAAATTTTTGCTAAACAATCAATATACACAATAGTCAATGAAAAATTATTTTTATTAATAAAATAAATCTAACTGAATTTTTAAAAGCCATTGAAAATATTTCATGTCGATTTTCGTTATATAGAAGAATTTTTATTGTTTCAATATATGGATAGATGCTACAAAGCCTAATCAAATAACTATTTCTCCATGTGAATTTACGAATTTAAAATATTATTTCCAAGTTCTATACATTGAATATTACACAATACATATGCAAATTATCTTATGACAATTATGAAGAATTTTCTCTAAAACAATAATAATATTATCAGATAAACACAATAAATTGTTTATAAACCCAAATACAGAATAGATCAATATAAACTGACTTGACTGAACAACGTTCGATATATTGGATTGATTATACTATCATCATTAGAAACATTATATTTTGTGCTTTCTTATTCTACTACCTCAAGTTCGTCAACAGTTTTCAATACTTGTCTCCATCAAATACTATGATCATCAAGAATCTTTCGTGCTTTCACTTTGAATTTATTTTCAAAAAATTAACTCTTGATCAGTTTTGATTAAGAGAAAACAAATGGATACATAGAAACAGGGTTATCAGATCGAAAAGATAGACAATCGGATTTTTTCTATTAAGATTCCGAAAAATTTTAAAAATTCGGAAAACAATTGCCTAACATTCCGATGTAGATGTTGACGTTTTTCTTACGAAATCTTTCTTTAAAGTTAAAATTATGTTCATTCTAGGAAACATTACTTAGGGCATACCAAAAGTAGTGGCAGTGACACTTTAATACCATATAGTAGACTTAAAGAAACTATCTTTCTATACAGTCTGATAGAGAAAGAAAAGCTCTATCTTTCTATCCTATTTGCTCATACTGCAACTAATATTATAATAAAATTCCGATAAGATTTGTTTCATTACCATATGGGTGTGGATGTGGGTGTGGGGGATGTGTAGGTGTGGATGTTTGTGAAGATCATATCCCCATCCACACCCACCCACACCCTTTTAACAAAAGACAACGTTAACGTTCGAAAAAAAATAATCAAAAGAACAATATACTAGACACTTTGGTAAGAAATCATCAAACAATATTCGATTGACATTGAAAAAGATGATATTATTCAACAACTTTATTTATTTATTTTTATTCTAAGTATTCAACTAGATTTCTTCGTTTTACATTAGAATATGATGATAAAAATATTTCTTTTTGTTTAAATATTTATTATAAATAAATATTAGGGGTGTTCCGGAAGTTCTGAAACGATTTTAAAATTCGTCGTTCTCGCATTCTGCAAAAGCAAATTTGTTGAAACTTTGGTAGATTGTTGTACATATATAGTACTACATAACTACAATGTTTGAGATCTATAGATTGTATTATGGATGAGAAATTGTAACAACACTGACATGTACTATTTTTTAAATTTTCCTGGTCATCTTCGAGGTGTGCAACATTTTTTTATTTCGTCTATATCTTGGCTTAGGTAAATGATAAAATCTTGAATTTTTCTTTAAAAGATGCGCCGTGAAAAGCTCTACAAAAAGTGCAATAATAAATCCCTATTGACTTTGTGTTAATGGTTTCTGCCATACTCTAAATGAAAAACCTGCATGGTAGTACTACTTCTCACCATATTATGCGTAATAAAAATAGGTTTGGAAGACCTTTCTGCTTTCAATAGGAATTTGTTTATATAGCTTTTGTAGAGCTTTCGACGGTGCATCTTTTGAAAAAGAAATCAAGATTTTATCATTTTTTCAAGCTGAGATACATGCAAAACAAAAAGTTCCTCCAAACATTTTTCATTACGCACAATATGGTGAGAAGTAGTACCATCATGTAGGTTTTTCATTTTGAGTATGGCAGAAACCATTAACACAAGTCAATAGGGATTTGTTATTACAATTTTTGTAGAGCTTTTTACGGCGCATCTTTAAAAAAAAAATTCAAGATTTTATCATCTACCTAAGCCGAAATATAGATATTTTGGTAGACCCGGAATACAGGAAAATGTTAAAAATAGTACATCATAGTGTTGCTACAGGTTCTCCTCTACAGTAGAACCGATAGATCTCAAACTTTGTAGTTATGTGCCTCTACATATGTGTAATAATATGTCAAAGTTTCAAAAAGTTTGCATTTGTTGAATGCGAGAACGATAAATTTTGAAATCGTTTCAGAACTTCCGGAACACCCTTTATATTAAATATTCTTTCCATTCAATTAAATTATTAACTATAAATAAATCATTTAATAAAAATAAATATAATAGAGAACTAATGACTTCTTTTTTAAATTTGAAAACTTCGTCTATAGTAATCATATTTTTGATTTCAAATAATATCCATTTGATTAACATTATACTATGCAGTCAGAGACCGTCATAAGGTTGCAACTAGACATGTTAGCCGCCGACCTTTCGCCGCTGCCGATAAAATTTCGACCCGCCACCGCCGAAGGCGATGCTTCGGTGAGAATTTTTCCGCCACCGCCGCCGATCAAGTTTGGGATTAGAATAATATCGTCAGAAGCGTATAAATAGACGCTTCGCATTACACTTTCATTCACACGAATAACATTATTGCTATTTTTTCATAATATAAAAAGAGATCCGTGTGCAAGATGGAGATAACAGTATAATTCTGTGAAAACGGAAAGTGTAATGTTTGTAAGAAAGGTCGGAATTAACAAAGGACTCGATAAAATAACTTTCGAAAAATTTTGCCGCCGCCGATAGAAAGATCGGCTAACATGTCTAGTTGCAACAAACAACGCTACATCTGCTCTGCAGGGCAGAATTCACGTTGGCAGTTGTAATATCACAATCGGGTGGATGTGGGTCATCTACTCTTCCTCACACCTACACCCAACCACACCAACATTCACCCACACGCCACACGCCACACTCACACCCACATCCACCAACACCCCACACCACACTCACACCCACCCACACCCACCCACACGCACACCCCACCCACACCCCACACCCACAGCCACACCCACAGCCACAGCCACAGCCACAGCCACACCCACCCACACCCACATCCACCCACACCCACACCCACACCCACACCCACCCACACCACACCCACACCCACCCACACCCACACACCCACACCCA